GTCGCTGTGTCCCGATGGAACAAATGTGTATGTGTATACTGGCTCGAATGCAGGAATGCATCGTGTAAGTGCGGGTTGGTATTCGTATTTGCTCTGATTGGACCCAGCGACCACCCTGTAGACTTAGCTTCGACTGTTGAAAATTTTTCAATATATTTTTCAGTGCCACTTTTGTCTTTAATGTGCTCGAAATTTCAAGATATGTCACTTTTTCTGTTGAGCTCTGGCACAGCTTTCAGGCGCAGAGGCGGGCGGAGTTGGGGGCGGTCGAGTGATCTAGATCGAGGGATCAAGATCTGATTGAAGAACGATACGCAGGACAAGAAGGACCTAGGCACTTTTGTATTTGAAGGAAAAGGATCCGGTTCAGTGCCTTGAGAAGATGAGTCTGTCTGTCTGTCTTTCTTTCTAACAAAAGTAGATTTGGGTCACTATATCCGCCAAACTGGCGTTCAAGCGACTCCGCGAGAGAGGCAAATGCAGAGAGGCGTACTTCATTGCTAACCCTAAACTTGCAGCGCCTGCGAGCGTACCCCACCGCACACCCCTCAGTTTCAGGACGCGCACTTGCAACTTCTAGGTCACAATGACAGCCCTGGCCGCAGTCAGACTGCTGCCTAGAGCCAACCACACCTACGCAGGCCTACGTGTTGACACACACACGCACGCACACACACACACTTAGGAAACAAAATTACGAGACGTGCCGTCCCACTTCGTTGCAGCCAACTTGTTCTTCTTTATACCTTCGGAGAGGAGGAACAGTACATCGTAGAGCCAGGCGCGTGGCACGGTAGGGCGCGTTCAGGGCGTGTCAGGAACGCATTGAAGCGGTAGCAGCTGGCGAAGAACCCCTTCGCCTCCAGTCACTGCTGCCGTTCCCTCGTAAACCCGCATTGAACACCTGGCCTCCTCTGGGCGCCCCCCTCACCATCCCCTCACAGTCAGTCCTCGGCTGCAGGCTGGGCGCTCGCGGACAACAAGATGGATAGACGAATAGATTAAACAAAACTCGGCCGCAGGGTTGTATTTAACAAGGGAGTCGTTTAAAACTGCCAATAAAGGTCCAAAAGCCCAAAGGACTTCTCACTGCTGCAAAAGTACGGTGTACACAGTTTTCAAAGCATTGCTTCATGCTTCGTAACCCACAATGAAAACGGAAGCAACGTAGTAGAAATTTCACTTTTCACTGCACCAACGCATCCATTTGCTTCATGACCCAAAAGAAATGCTTTGTAGACTTTTGAAGAGGGTGGTGTGTAGTGAAGACGGAGGGCTCGCTTTGGGGGTCATGAAGGTCCACGTATAGGGAGAGGCGACATGTTGAGGGGGAATAGTGGCAATGAACATGATGATGATGATGCAGGGGTAATGGTTATGATATTGGTCAGCGAGGGACCGCTCCGCAGAAGAGTGCGCAGAATAAGAGAGGACCGGTGGTGGAGCTCCTCTCCTCCCTCCCTGCTCGCTCCCTCCTCCTCTCTCCCTCTTCCCTCTCTCGCTCTCCACCGCACCCCCGCGGCCATAAACTGACAGGCGAGTGAGCTCAACGCTTACAATGGAAGGGGGCGGAGGTCCACCCATAAGCGATAACGCTCTTCATGAAAATGCATTTCGTCCGACACGCTAAATATTAATGACACAGTAATTATTTTTCGGCTGCATACAGTGGCACTTCTCAAAGTACGGAAATAAGAGTTAAAAAACTGCCTTTGCATAACAGGTTGTTAATATCTGATGAGACGCTAATAGCTTCGGTGATTGCTGACCAGGTGCAGACCAGCGCCGATGTCATCATCAGATTGCAATCCATCAGGGAAAGTGTGACACGATTGCGTCAGCCGAGCTGGGAACAATACCAGGTGGCTGATTCACGCCGCGCACTTCTGTAGGTATACTGTACCGCATGCACGAGTGCGGGCGGGTTGCCTACTCGCTCGGCTCGTAAGGCGCCGTGGACAGGGGCGATAGGCAAGCCCGCCCGCACTCGTGCATGCGGTACAGTATACCTACAGAAGTGCGCGGCGTGAATCAGCCACCTGGTATGTCACTTAGTCTGCAGTTCGCAGTCTGCTCCAGAAAAAAAAATGATATTGGGCAAAAACGACAGGATATCTGTCAAATGAAATGTAAACATGGTATACTTTAAATAAAGTGTACGTGGCATGCATACTTTGATTAATTTGTACATACCAAATGCCCATGTACATAAGCATTTTTAAACGTGTACTATGCCTATGTACCACGTGCAAAGTCTACATACTGCCGTTGCGTTTGTATACATGCCATGTACACTTTAAAAACGATGTTGACACGTCCACTTTAATAAAAGTAAAGTGAACATTTGCATTGTCAGAGAATTTTATTTGATCAAAGGCAATCATATAATTGGTAAATTTGCCCGAATCATTACTTAGCGTTCCACACAAAACTTGGCACAAAGAAAAAGGTTCATAATGACTAGATTGCGGGCCGTTAGCGCTTCGCGGTTAGTCAAGTAAGGCTTTTCCCCCGGCAAGTGTGTTGGAACCACAGGGTGGTTGGAACAGTAGATAGGGTAATGTGGTTGAAAGCGGAGGCGAAGCGAATGAGGTGTTGAGGGTTAGGAGGAGCACTCTGCGCCCAGAAAGTGATTTTATTACGCTGGAAGGGGAAACGCAGAAAAAAAACTTGACATACGAATACGACCGATAATATGATGTGTTGCCTTGAAATATAATACATATCAACTATCCTGAGCCACATTTACAGATTTGAAGGCCGCGTAAAAAAAAGAAAAGTTGCGGAAACTTAAAAAAAAAAACACACAGAAAATAAGGAAAATGTCGGACTAAAAGACCCTTATTTTGTCTTTTTTTCCAAACTTTCATGGAAAATTTTCCGGATAAAACGTGTTTTTTTTTCAGAAAACTTTCACTTTTTCGGTAAATTAAAATCTGTACAAATAACATCATAAGTCGAGTAAGCGGCACGACACCAAACCAGCGTAGAACACGCTTGTTTTGGGCTGAAGCCAGCACACTTTTCCACCGCGTTCCACTCCGGGCGCGCGCTCTCCGCCGCTAAACACACACACGTAATGCCAGCATTAGTAGACTACATGGCGCGGCCCTAATAGCGAGCAATCACAAAAGAAGAGGTGGGGGCTTAACAAGTGTTCCGGGTTACCCCCGTCGTCAAGCAAGGCGCCGCAACGTAACAGGGAAGGAGAAAGGGCGGGGGAAAAGGGGAGATACAAAGAGTTGGACAGTACGACCGTGCTTGCCGTGTCGCTCTGCGAAGGAAGGCGAGAACGCTCTCGCACTCACTCAAAACAAGTCAAACAAATCTAGCGTCAGACCACTCTCTCTGCTTTGAGGGCTTTGAGCGTCGCCATCAGTCGTCCAACCCACAATATCCTCCCCGCCCCCTTTTCTCTTCCCGTTTCCCACTCCTCGTCACTTTATCTTAGACACCTGTGGCCTGGCTAATCCGGTGGTAAATGTCACTCAGGTAGTCAGCGAGGCGCAAACACTAAAAAAGAAAGTGTGCAACTGGCGTGCAGATGTAAGCAGTGCTCAACACGACGTTGCACATTTTTAAGGGTTGGACTGGATATTTGAATACTGCACTGTAAAACGAAGAGTGAGTGTTCTTGCCCGAAGAGAGCGACGTTTGTGTCCATCGCTCTGTTTGCAAAATGACTCAATATGAGTCTTCTTCGTAACCGAAAATGTCGCGAAACTGACTCTAAACGAGTGATGTAATTGATATCACTTCCCCTGGAGTCATGAAATTGGATTCACAACTTCGCTCTTCTATGAGCGAGTTTGCTCACTCCTTTACTTGTAGTGTAAAAACACTAAAAAGAGTTTAACACTAAAGTTAAACACTTACACTGGTAAAACAAAGGTGTGAATTAACACATTTCCAGGGGCGTTAAAGCCAAAAAGCGTTAACGTTTTAGTTTTTCCCAAATATTTTCTGATAAAGCAAACCAAGGTTTGTAGAACTTATATTTTCGTATTCAGCTCAAAATTCCGCTTCGATCAAGCCTACATGTGATAGGGTTTAAATCCCAAATGAAAGAAATTTAGTAGATTCCTGAGGGTAGTTACTTCTTTCAGCGTTCTTCAGACACATATCACATGTAGGCTCGTTCGAAGCGGAATTTTATGCTGAGTGCGAAAATATTAGTCCTACAAACGTTTGTTTGCTTCAGCAGTAAATATTTTGAAAAAACTAAAATGTTAACGTCTTTAGAACTTTAATGCCTTTAAAAGGTGTGATTTCAGACCTTTATTTTTCCAATGCCATAAAGATTTGGACAGTTTAAAGTGTTCAAATTTACTTTTAAACACTTTCAAGTATTCAAATTTCCCGTCCAATATCTAAGAGTGTGCACCATAGAGTTGAACGCGAGGGGGCAATAACTCCCTTTTAAAGTGTACACATGATTCCCGAAATCCTTGATTCCTAGTGATTCCCGTCCACTTATGTTCATTTCTTAGGTTTTCTAGTGGTAGAAAACGCTTATTTCGACTAATATGCACGAGTTCCACTAGTTTCCCGCTTATTTAAAGCGATTTCTGTTGACTTTGATTAATTTTTATCCGGATGATTCCCAGGGCAGGTGTACACATGATTCCTGGAGTTATTGCCCCCTCGGTTGAACGCTAGGGGAAGCTGGGGTCCCATGAGACACTTTTTGTTTTTCGGGCCTGTAGGCCACATTTGTTGAGATATTCGAATTTTCAAAGTCGGTATTGAGAACATGGTTAATTGCCTATCAAATGATACCCATGTCATATTTTTAATGCAACTCGCCTTTGTACAGGAATACATTTAAAAAACCCTTGCAAAATCACATGGGACCCCAGGCCTGGGGTCCCATGTGACACGCTCGGGGACCCATGAGACACTTTTAATTTTTGTGTAAAAAGAGGAAAAGAGGCAAGAAAAAAATGTTTTTCAGTCAGTTAAATGTTTTAATAAAAGAAAATAATAATTGCCAAATGTTCTTGGACGGTTTACAATAAACAAAAAAATTCTCTTTGGCAAAATAACAGGTAATCTTTGACTAGTTATATTTGAATAACTATAAGTAATTATACTATAATCACAAAAATTGAACACAGCTGCCTCGAAAGGCTAGGTAAGCCTAAGTAACTTATCTTATCTTATCCTAAGCGAATCCCAGAGAAGTTAAAGTCAAAAGAAATGAGATCTCTTTGGCGGCGAGTACCCCCCATAATTGGTTTAGGCAATACTGCTATCACGTCATCTATATGCACACTCTTTAGGTCTGGGATGTTTGGCAGTGAAAATTTGTACAAAGTTTTACCACTCTGGCGGTAGTAGGACACCTCTAAGTCTCCTTCTGCATCTTTTGCACTGAGCACTTTGCCAACGTAATATTTATCTTCCTTTCCTCTAAAAACGACTAGTATGTGATCACCCTCTTCAGGGTCTTTTTCCAGGGGTCCAAATAGATTTTCATCTTCATTTAAATCACCACTCGAATAGTTTTCATCCCCTTCCCACATTTCTTCTTCGCTTTCTTCTACAAGCTCTATGTCTGAGTCAGGGTCAGACGACTCAGATTCTTGAGTGACTTTACTTCTCTTTGCTTTCTTATTTTTAGTTGGAGCTTTCCTTTTATTATTATTAGAGTGTCCTGGAACCAATAATTTGTCTAAATTCTTGCCTGCTCTTGCCTTCCTTTTTGCTTCCTGCTCTGCTTCTTTGGCCTTTTTAGCTCTAGTCTTCTCTTCAATTTCATTTTTTTCAGGTGTGTCTGTCGCAACTCTGCATTTTCCTTTTGCCCGTGGCTTTTTGCTTGTGGTTTCTCTTGGCTTCGCCTTAGGCAGAGGCCTCACTTTTCTTGGTGTGATTATTCTTCTAGGTGTTTGGCTGATATTTGGCTCTGGGTTGTCTGCTTCATGTTCCTCTTCCTCCTGGGTTTTTTCCTGGGTGCCATGCCCGTCCTGGCTCTCAGCTTCTGGTTGATGAATAGGAGGGGGTTGGTTTTCAGTGACAATACTGGGAGCAAAATCAACATCTGAAAAAATGTTCCTGTTGAATGGGTAAATTCCAGTAGCACGGAATGCAGAAAATATATTGGAAGGCGTTCCAGATTTACATATAGCCTTATTTACTAGACCAGCCACATCATATATAGTACAAACTTGCCCTGGGTGAGCAATAGTCCAATCGTTGTAAGCCCTACTGTAGGCAGCTTGATATGGACCGTAGATGGCAACATCTAGAGGTTGTGTCTTGTGTGTTGTGTGGGGAGGCAAGGTGAAAAGTGTCACACCATTATCCCGACACAAATTAATAACATCAATGCTGAGATGGGAAGCAACATTATCCAAGATGAGAAGTGTTGGGTGTTCTTTAGAACTCTGGGCATGTGCGATAAAGTGTTGAATTACTTTAACAAACAACTCGGATGTCATCCAACCTTTCTTAGAAGCCAACCCAAGTGTTCCAGGGTAACAATTTATCAACATATTCTGAGTAAATTTTACACGGGGAAACACCATGGCAGGAGGCAACATTGTGCCATTGGCACAAATACAGCAGCAAGTTGTGACAAGTGTGCCACGTTCGGCACTTTTAATTTGGTGAAGTTGTTTTACTCCTTTCTCAGCTATGACTTTATTTTTCTTTATTTCCCCAACGGTGGTTGAACCCGTCTCATCTAAATTAAATATTCTAGTTCCATTACCAAAAGACGGATGGCGTTTCAAAACCGCCTCCAATTTATCAAAATAGTTATTAATATTGGTTTTATTGAAGGCCATGGCACGGGCTACACTGCACTGTTCGGGTTTTCTCAAGGATAAAAGAGGGGGTCTTTTCATGAATCCTAAAAACCAATCTGCACCAGCCATTTCATTTTCAAGCCATGATTTAGGTAGATTGGTTAGATTGTTGGCTACTCCTAACTGTACAGCAAACTTTCTTATGTCAACTGAAGAGAGGCCATAACCCATCTGGCTGCATTCAATTACATACCCTGCTAAAGAATCCTCTAACTCCTTGGGGAAAATTAATTTTGTTGCATAATCAGGTGACAGTCTTACAGTATCTAAGTCCTCCACATTCTCCGTTTTGGCTATGTAACGCCTCAGAGTCATGTGGTTCACATTATTATTCTGAGCTGCAGTTCGAACTTTGATACCTGAGCGAACCTACAATTAAAGGGGAAATATTAACATTTCTGTTAACGAAATTAAGAAAACAATTCAGTACACACACAACATATTTTCTAGTTTACCTGTTGAATTGCTATTTTCATAGCTTCGGGCGAGAACGCCCCTTTGGTTGATTTCCTGGGCTTAGAGCGCGGTATTATAATTTTGGCAGCCTATAATATTTAAGAAATAATGTATTTGTTAGTTCATTCATTCATGTTCTACAGTAATGCTGTTGTTTAAAGTGTTTAAAAGCATGTAGAGGCTGAAGCCTTGCCATTTGTGGGCCTTAGTAAGTTTAAAATCAGAAAACAACAAAAATTGGGGTGTCTCAAGGGACCCCAGCTGTAAAAGTCTCATGGGTCCCCAAGCTGCACATTTTCATTCAAAGTGGTGTAGAGTGCATAGGTTATGTGTGAAGATCGCAGTCCGGGTACGAAATTGAAGAGGAAGGACCACTTGACAACAACATGAGAAGTCCCGGCCCCAAAACTAATAATTAATGGTGAAAAGCGAACGTGCCGCTCCATACATAAAATTTACTTTACCTCAAAATATGGGCTTGCCCAACTTTAGCCGCCTCTCACACGCTCGGTATTCGCACCAGACCCTCCGCCTTGTAGCTAACAACAACATACCTGGTAGGGTTGCCAACCAATTTTTTGTCAGCGCCGCCAACTGTTACTTCCTGAGATATCGCTAAAGTCTCATGGGACCCCAAGTCTCATGGGACCCCAGCTTCCCCTACTATGCGCATGCCAGTTGCACAATTTATTTATTAGTGAAAGGCCACAACGGTGGACGGGGGAGGGGGCGCAAGCAGCAGATTCCGTCCCACGCGCGTGCGTCCAGCCTCGGCCGATCTCATCCGAAGTCGTCGATCCGACCCCTTGCACCATCCGGTCAAACACAAACTCCAAAGATCTCGCCGCCACGCCCAGCCACGCCTCTTCGGCGTTGTTATTGGATGTCGCGGCGGGGTAGAGGGGAAGAGGGGGGGGGGGGCAACCGACTAGAGGGATTTCAATCCAAAAGTCAAACCCCAACTGGCCATTGCACGCACGGACCCAAGTAGTTCGACTCGCCCTCTCCCAATCCCCCACCCTTCCTCAGGAAGGCCGTGTAATAAGTTGGTCGGTCGGACACGCCCGTCTGCTTCTGACCCGTTGCAGTTCTGGTAAAAGTTCCACTGAACACTAAAGAGCAATGGTGAGATAATTGCGACAAGTTTATTTGAACGAAACGTTTCCTGTTTCCTTGTCTGAGTCTCACACCTGGCAAAAAATAAATACCTGAGTTGAGCCAGCCGATAAGTAGTTGAGATTGCCTGTGTGTCGGCTTGTATCCACCCAGACAACTTTAGAAGCCAGCTCAGCGAAACTTTATCTGTGCCCTGTGCTAGCCACATATAAGCTATGAGAGCTGTAGGAGCTGCTGCATTTCTAGGAGCTTATCATTAGTTCCCAAATCAATACTGGATTACCAGGTCCAACTTTTAATTTGGCTACTACCTGACTGAATGATATATACTGGTCAACACACGAGATACCACCACACTCGAAAAACTAATGTTACCGAGGTAACGTTACGGAACCAAACCAGGTAACGTTTGGTGATGCAACCAATTTGTGATGGCCCTACCCTTTTGCATGAGGTAGGTTGCATTAGGAAACGTTATCGGGCTTGGTCACATGATGAAACGTTAAATCGGTAACATTAGTTTTTCCAGTGCATACTAGAAGTGGACTGCCTAAAATGCTCTCAACTGAGGTGAGAAGCAGACCGATAAACTTAGTAAAGAGGTGTGCAGACAGCCTCATTAACGGACCTCGTGTGGGCAAGGGGAGGGAGGGA